GCCATAGGGCAGAGCAGGGCCTGTGTGAGAGGGTGCAGGGGCTGGGTGTGCACTGCCTTGACCCCTGTGCTGCAGGATGTGGCCAAGGATTTGTGCTCTGCCGTGGGGCATGGACGTGCTGCGTTTTGGATATTCAGCATTTATGGCAACCTGTGCATTCTTGCAACTGCTTTACATGATGAGGAGTTAGAGCAGCCAGGGGGAAGTGCCTCTGGATGCTGTGCTGTGTTTGCTGGCAGGACATGGGCTAACAGCAGCCATGAGGACTCAGGTGCCAGCCACAGGCAGGGGACACAGACAGAGCGGTGCTGCTGAAGCACCTCAACCCCCCCAGGTACATCAGCCACAGTCACACAATCCCATGGTGGTAGGTACAAGTGAGAACAGGACTTAGGGAACACTAGGGAACTACTTCTGTAGTTAAGTGGGGTCCTAAACAGTGGATGTGCAGAGCTGCCAGCCACAGAGGACTCTGCTCCTGCCCCAGCAGCCACAGGGGAACAGCCAAGCCAGCAGGTCCCTCACACACAGCTCAGAGGCAGCTGCAGCCCACCCAGCCCAGCTGCAAGAAGGCAGGGACAGACCTCAGACTCTCCAACAAATGTTCCCCACCCTACCCCCTGGGAACCAACTCCCTGTGCCACAGCCAAGGGAATATGAACTTTCTGCAGCCATCACCTGAACCACTGCTATGCTGGGGGATGCTGGCAGGTCCACAGGGCCAGGCAGAAGCAGCTTCTGGAACTTTCCAGGGCTCAGCAGCCAGTCGAGGGAGGCTTGCACCTGCAGCAGGGCTGGTCCTTCCAATGCAGGGATGGGGGAAGCTAACCACAGAGAGGTGTTGGTACCAGTGACATCCTCCCTGACAGACTGGTTCCTGGTGGATGGGTACATTAACACTGCTGATTTACACAGCTGCCCAGACAAGTCCTGTGTTCAGAGTCCAACACCTATAACCCATCTGTTTTGGCATGTGAGCCCTGGTGTGAAGCTGGGCAGAGCAGCCTGCCCCAGCCCAGCTCCTCTCCAACCCAGCCATAGACCCTGGCACTGCTGGAAGTGTTGGGCAGTTACCCCCTCTGCCAGCACCCAGGACACATCCATGGCTTGGCACTGTCACCTCCCAGCAGCACTGTGTCATTGTGCATGCCCAGAGCATTGGGCTCCTGCTTCATGCCAGGCATCCTCAGCAGTGGTGGGAGACCAGCTGCAGACAAGCCTGGCCACAAAGGGATGGCCTCCTGCCCCAAATCTCCTGTCCTCCAGCATCTCATCCAAGTCACCTCCAACTCACCACTCCTTCCACTCTGTCAGCTGCAGCCCCACCCGGGGGTCTGCCGAAAAAGGAAAGCTCTGATCCCTTCTTCCGTATCACTTTCCAAGCCTCAGGCCCTGCAGAAAAGCCAGACTCCTTAGCTGAAGGGGCTCCCCATTTCTGCGACAGCAAGTGACCACGTGTAATCACGTTGCTGTCCATGCTTCACTCCCACGGCATCATCTGCTCAGATTCCTCCCTCCTTTTCCTTCACAAGCCAGGAAATACCCTCAAGGTCAAGAGCCAGTGAGATCTGGGGAATTCATTAACCTGCTCTCTCAAGAGCAGTGATACTGCACGAGTTCAGAGAGAGAAGGATGGTGGTATCCTGCACTAGTAGCTGTTCCCAGCAAGCCCAGAGCCACAGCACCAGCCACTGCTGCCTTTCCTGAGGGAATGGCCCATGCTCCTCCCATTGCACCAGGTGGCTGCAGCTGGGAGAGGCATTGCGTGGTCCGGATATGGAGTGAGCCTGTCATCTCTCCCTCATCAGCACAACCAGGCCTAAAAATATCCCAGAGTGGGCTGATGGTGGTTGTGCTACAGTCTCTCCATTATGCAGATGGAAATGGCTGGTCCCTGCCAGAGTGCCTGGGGCAGCACCAGCTCCTCCGCCCTGCACTGGCACAGGATATTGGGATAATTATTGGGTAATCTCCATGGTGGAGGAGTGCCAGGGACAGACAATGGCACAGAGCATCCCAGCCAGGCACAGCATCACTGCTCGGGCTGTCCCAGCCAGGGCAGACAGACAGCTCAACAGGCATCATCCCTCCTGGGTGCATGGGATGGAGCAGGGCGGGGAAGAGGGAGTTTCACAGCCCACTGCCATGAACCTGTAGCAATGATGAAAGGGGGGCGCTGCTCAGATAGCCCACGACAAGTCATAAGTGCACCTAGGCAGCCAAGCTGAACAGCACTTTGTGTACAAGTGCAGCAGCACAGGGAGCCGGAGGGCAAGTCAGCAGAGCAGCCACAGCAGGAGCAGGATCAGCCCTCAGCCCACAGGAAAAGCCAGAGGAGCTGAAGAGCAAGGTGCTGAGTTTGCAGCCAGGCCAGGAAGAGAGCTGGCCTTGTGCCCTGCAACATGCTGGCAAAGGGCAAAGCTGTCAGCTCCTCCCTTCCCATCCCTGCATATCCCAAATCCACAGGCCTGAGAGTGAGCACGGCTGCTGACGCTGAGCCTTGGGCAGTCATCCACCCAATAAACCTGAGTGGGACAAAGAGCAGAGACGCTGCTGGAGGAAGCAGGAGGGATGTGCCAGCTCATGTAGGAATGGCTTACAGCATGAATCCAGCCCCAAAGAGGGACTCCGGCTCTGACACAGACTCATGGCTGGCAGACAGAACCAGATTTCATTCCAGCCTGACTGGTGTCCCCAGGAGTGTCACAAGCATCCATGACCCCAAACCTGAAGTGCCATCTACTCACCCCTCACCCCACCGTGTGCTCTGCTTTCCTCTGCACAGCCAAACCTCTCCTGGAATGGTGACACAGGGCCAAGGACACACTGAGAGGGCAGCACTCCAGACATGGACCTGTCACACCTCTTCCCACCCCAGATGCTTGGCAGTTCCCAGAGCCTGTGGGGAGCTGTCTCCAGGGAGCAGAGCTCTGAGCAATCTCACCTGCTTATAGGGCTGGAGGACAGGTTGTGCTGGGAGAGGGTGAGACCAAAACACCATATGGCCCAGCCATAGCCAGGCATCTGTTCACTGGGAAGGGGAAAGTCTCCCTCAGCAGTTACCAGGCACTCCTCCAAAAAAGCTCCACAAGGGCTCTTCTGTCCAGTGGCTTCTGGAGGAAGGATTCTCTAGGCAGGCTCTAGCCTGCCTGCATAAGGGGTGGGGATCTGTTGTGAGAGGTGATGACTGTCCAGCCCCCAGGGATTTCCACCATGGTCCCAGCCCTGCACCTCTCGCTAGGAACAATCTGTTCAGCCTCCACAGAGCCAGCACATGGCTGGAGCCTGCTTGTTTGCAGTCTGCACAGATGGGCAGAGGACTGATCCAGGTCCCCCAGGGCTGCCCCCACAAGTTGACAGAAGCCAGAGGACACAGGCAGGCAAGGAGGGACCCTGGGCAGCTGTCTCAGCCAGCATGGGCCAGGGCAGCAGTGGGGAAAGAGCCAGTGTGATGCCTCACACAAGCAACAGCCCAGCCCAGAACAGGCAGGGCAGTGGGACAGGAGAGACCTCACTACACTGCGACACCTGCAAAGGGCTCCTTGGGAGAAGGTGAGGAGCAAGAAGCCCTTCCTCAAGCTGGCCCATCAGGTGCTGACGTGCCTGGCTCCCAGCCCAGCAGCTCAGAGTCACGCAGCTCCCATGAACACTGTCTTTCTTCTCCCTGCTGCAAAGCCCTTGGCAGCCCCTCAACCGCTTTGGCTGGGAGGGAGAAGAGCCAAGGTCTCTTTTTCTGTCCCTTTCCCCTTGCCAGGCTCTGCACAGGGCTGAGGGGCCAACTTGGGGGTCTCTCTGCTGGTGACAGCACCGCAGCCCCCTGCTCCCACAGGGATCCATGAGGAGCCTTCATCTCCAGCCAGTGAGGAAGAGCAGGGTTGGCCCCAGCCCCACTGCCTGGATGGCTGAGGTTCCAAGCAGGATGCCTGTGCTCCCTATGCAAGGGAGGGTAGCAGAATAAAAGTATTAACACTCCTGCCAGTCCCTGTGGACACCAGCTGTCAAATGGTGTTTGGAAACATCTATCCAGCTGGAACTGGGAAAGTCAGAGAGGACTCATGACAGACCCATTGCTGGCTGCCAACACAACTGCTCCCTTCATCCTGCCCTGACTCTGCTGGGCCTGAGCAAGCAAAGCTGCATTCCTGCTGCAGGGCCAAGTGGCCTGGGCAGCCATCCACCACAGGCAACTGCAGCTCCAACCACACGGGCTGCTCAGCCCTTCGCTGGAGCTGCTCCTCACTGCCAGTTTCCTTGCTCTCCTGTATCACACCATGGAACTGGATGCAAGTTAATAGCTCCTCTGCACCGGCAGCCAGTCAGCACCCACCACCCACACTAAAGACATCCATGTGCTGCATCCGGGATACTGTCACTTCTTTTTAATTCCTTGTGGCTATCAGGAATGAAGTTTGAGTTAACCCCTGCTATGAGGATAGGCTAGAAAATTAACCTCAAAAGGCGCAGAGATACTGTATTCAGGAGAAGCAGCAGCACTTGATGAAATGAGAGTCCAAGGCCATCAGCTCACATCCACAACCATCTGATTCCCATGTGTGAAATGTCTCCGGAGGTCCATGGGTACAACACTCCACCACGCCCCCCTAAATTCAGCAAGACTGTGGGCTTGAGCCACTGGACTTCTTGAAGTAGTTTGCTTTGGTCTACAGCAGACTTGTACGTCAGGGCAGTCACAGGAGCTGCTTGGACATGAGACTGGCTGGTACAAATTCTTGGGCTGTAAAGACAGGTTTCTCCTAACCCTACATGGAGGACTTCAGCCTGGATATGAAAACATCCCAGCACACCAGCCATGCACCTTGCCTGCAGCCTGAGGAGGCAGCTCTTCCTTCAGCCAGCACGTGGACAATGATGAGAGCATCCCAGTTCCTGGGGTGCTGGGCAGCACGAGGGGCCCACACTGGGTACGCCAGGGAGTAACTCACAGGAGGCAGAAGAGCCCAGACAGCAGGACTGTGTCATTTCTCTCCTGCATCGTGTACTGAAGGTGTTCACAGCCCACTAGAACCATTCATAACAGTGAGAACTTTTCTTAAACGCAGAATTCCAGGATGAGGACAACTCTTCTCAGGCTCTCTTACCTCACACAGTTTTGTTAAGGAATTAACACACATACTACACCATTTAACTCCTTTTCCAGTACCTTCCCACACATTTCCCTCGTTTGCTAGGTGCTGTCAAAATGGCTTTGATTTTGGTGTTGTCACATTAGTCATGCTGCAGCAAGGAGGCTGTGGCAATGTTTCTGCGTGGATCTGCCACAGGTTCCTCAAAAGATAGCAATCAGGTGAATGTTTACCATTCTTCTGCAGACCATTCTGGTGAGGTCAAAGGAAACTGCAGACACACACCCTCAGCTATGCTCATCACTGGAACCAAGCAACAAACCCCACCTGAAGTGTTGCATTCTTCATTCATCTGAGGGAGAAATCTAAAGCTGCTCAACAGCTCTAACAGCAGTGCATAAAAATGAAGAATGAGTATGGGAAGGGAGGAAAAAGGCTTATTTTGCCTTTTAGCAATATCCCACGTTGTTCATGTTCAACTGAAAATACTACACACTTCACACTAACCTAAGTGCACACATTGAAAGGTTCTGTGCAGGATCTACAAATTTGTCAGCAAAAATGATACATTACCATTTTCCCTAAACTACAAAAGCTGGCTCCAGCAACACCTGGCACTTTAGGCTTCAAAGATATGGGCTGAATCAACCTACAGTGAATAAGCAAATTCCTCAAGGTCACTTGGTGCATCAGTAACAAAAATCCCTGAGCTAAGGTAGAAGAATCTCTTTTCCCCGACTGCCAGTTCAGCAAGTCTTAACCAGCACTGTGAAATTCAAGAGTCAACACCACAGTAAAGAACAGAGCTGTTTGAGATTGCACCTAGGTAAGATTTCCTGATGACGCCTCCTCTGGCACTCTCAGCTACAGAGGGAACCTAAGGCAACTCAGCTCTTGCTGCAGATGTCTCAGCTCTGTGAGGAGAGATGACTCTGTGGTTCCATCCCTGTTCTATTGAACAGACATGAACAGCCAGGCTGGACTGAGTCCTTAAACAACAGAACTCCACTTAGGCCTCTGAAAGACACCCAAGAACTCATAAGGATAAGCATGAAGGAGATGAGTATTAGAAATGAACAATGCTAATAGAAAAATTAGAAGCATGATGAGAATTTCCAAGTTACAATGCTTTAGTTCTTAAATTAGTTTACAGATTGTCTGTTTTGAAATTAGATTTATTATTTGAGGAAACTGAAAACAACATACAGGCTACCAGAGTCTTGATTTCATCCCATGTTTGCATTAAAAAAACAAGCACAACTGCAGACATGTCAGACAACAGGAGCCCAGTTAAAGGATGGAAGAACAGAGATGGAAGCCTTGGGATATGTGACTATGCTCCTCAAACAGTGCAGAATCAATTCAACCCAGCTCAAAACACCGGGAAGAGAGAGAAGGAGCAAGGAGAATTGATCCTACTACTGACATACTGCCCCTAGTCATCTGAGGGGTCTGCTGATGGAAAAGTGGTCTCCTAGAAGTCCAGCCACAGGCAGAAACATTACTGCAATCAGGTGCTTTACAAAGAATATAGTCACCTTTTTAAATCTTATGAAAAGTTATCACTGGCTTGCGAAGCTCATCCTGAATTAAGGGCAAGCCACTATATGTTTATACAAAAAAATGCTTCCTGTGAGTCCAACCTGAACCAGTCACAGATGGAAGTTTCATGAAAAGTGAAGTAATGGTCTACTGCCTGCAGTACCACATGCAATGGACCTAACAAAGGGTCACCAGAGCTCCTGTGGGGCACACTGAGCATGATTTTGTACTGAACACATTCAAGAAACACCTGCCTAGCTGATAATCTGGCAGCATCTCACCCTCACTGGAATGATGCTGTAACAGGGATAAAAACACTTCCAAAAGAAAAAAAAAAAAACAAACACTGAAGAAAATTATCAGACACAATAAAAGTCTAGGTAATGAAAAGCCTATGTACCTTTGAGACAGCTGCTCTGTACAGAGCTTTTATTGCTACCTGTTTTACTTCAAGCCATAAACCCAACTGCTTTTGCAAAGTCAAATAATACAGACCCCTCAAACATCAGGGTCACCAATTTTAAGTTCATGGAGAGAAGCCAAAATGCAGTTTACTGACTGCAGTAGGTACAATATGCTCACATTTGAATGATGCGGCACAAGAACTGACAGGAGAATTGGGAAGGCCTTTTGTCTCAAGAGTGCAGGATGGCAGCGGTTTCCAACACAGTGCAGTCAACTGACAAGAGCAAATCTGGAGCCTGCAGAAAACAGGTAACAAAGCTCCTCTTCCAGAACAAATAATACACACAGGAGCTCTTGAAAGTCACTCAATACTGTTGGAGGTGGGTGGCAAAACCTGCTGCAGGTGAATGAAGAATAGAATATCCTGATTTGGAAAGGACCCACGAGGATCAATAAAATCCAACTCCTGGCCCTACACAGGACAGCTCTGAGAACAACCCCAAGAACAACAGCACTCCAAACAAATCCAGCTGTTTTGTATCTGGGTCATCATTTTAGGATGAAGCTGTAGAGCCAGGTGTTTACAGCACAGGTAGCATGTGGCACCTAAAAGATGCATTTAAGTTACATGGCAGTTTGGGGAGAAAGCCTGAAGGCAGGGACCTTTTCTCTTGAGGCAGAACGGCAGATTGTTACAAAGAGTATGTTTTTCAGTAACTCACAGGCAGTGTCCAGCCTATGAGAAGTTAATACCAAATTAACTCTGACAGAACAGAGGCAAGTTTGTTAAGGCCCTGCCAGCTCTTCTCTATGTTTGCTCACAGCACATCACTTCAGAGGCTTATGTGAAAGCTCAGATGTCAAAGTGCAATTTCATTCCTATGCCTGGACCAGAGTAACTGCAGCTACCAGACTCTGGTCTTAACAGATCCTGGTTTTCTCAAGCCAACTATCCCATTCATCAGAATACCATTTTATACCCTGAGACCAGGAGTTTTGGACATGGGAAAAAGGAAAAAAAAAAAACAAGCAACCAAAAATCACAAAAGAAAGCCACTATGTCCTTTCAGAATGTTTAAGCCTTCCAATACTGATGAATGAGGTATTCCACCACAAAAATAGGACAGATTACCTCTATGCAAAACAGTGATTGTGCAAATCTTTGCTACTTATATCGACCTCCTGACCCTATAAAAATGTAGGGCTGAGTAAGATTTTCTGTATAAAAGTGGTAGTTTATTTCTTTTCTGATCAAGAGTTGTATCACTAGTCAATACTACATTTTATTGCTAATCACAAGTCGATGCACCGGGGTTTCAGAAGAGTTTGGTTTATAGCAATCCTATGTACCAAAAGGAAAAAAGTTACAAATTCAGACTTTGCAGACACATTGCCACGTCCCTATAGAAGCAGGGATCCATTAGGTCTGTTTCATTAGAAAATTCTCCTCTTGAACAGTTTCTGGAGAACACACAATCACGATTTTCTCCAGTAGGAAAATTCACCCCATCATTCCATGCAAAAACAAGGTGGCCAATCTGCTCCACAGCCTAAAATCCCTTTCCTACAGAATGGGAAAGGAACAGGTATTTACACTGCTCCTACTGTGTTGTGTTAATGCTTAAGTTACTAGGAGCAAGTTGGCACATCTTCCGAGTACACACCTATTACCCAGCTCAACTCAGCTTCCTGTTGCTGGGGTAGCAAGTTCTCTCCATCACAACTGAGATGTGTCCTACTAACACTCTACAAAAATGCTACGGTAACCTTTGCCAGACAGCAACATGGCAGCACTTGCTTCAGAAGAGCATTGCACAGCCTTTCAGTAACACACAGCTCAGTGCATGCTTTATCTGTCTCAGACCCAGTATTAGCTGCTGTAAGCAAAAGCCTGCGGGCACACGACAGACAGTGCTGCCACAGAAGAGGGACTGCACTGCTTCAGATGCTGCTGCCCTGTCATCCCCAACACTGTGATGCCTGGATTTCAAGAAGGGAGAGTTAGGACTCTGTCCCTTTAGTCATATTGCCTTAGAGAAACTCAAAAGAAACTCTTTGGGAGCTGAATGTCTATTGGGAGCTGAACATCTATTCTTGTTAGAAGGCTGCACTGTGCAGGGCTCCAGACAGATTTGATTGGTTCTGAGGCACATACTAATACAGTTTAACTTATGATTAAGTAAGTCAAAAGCACTACCAGAACAAAAATATTAAATGGAAGGTTAAATAATTTGTCCTACTGAATTCAATTTCACATTTCACCTGTTCACACGAGCACCTCCTATCTGGTTGGATTTGCACAGCCTACAGCTCAACCTCAGAAAGGAGGCGCTGAGAAACAAGAGACTGAAGCTGCTTGCGACAAAAAGATGGATATAAGTATAAAAGAGGTTCCATTTCCAGCACCAGTAATACTGCCTGCTCAAGCCCAGGTGTGGTCACCAGGGAGACTCCTAAATTCAGGAACATTATTCAGTTAAAACAATAGACCACACTATTCTGCAGCTGCCGTGATTCCTGGCTACAACTCCCAAAAGAGTTTGCCACCTGTCGAAATTGTCTCTAATGAAAAAGCAAGACTGCTCAACGAGATGAAAGCAACACTCCCAAGCTGGCTTATTTGGTGAGGACCCAACTTCAGACCAGGAGTTTGCAGGCATCAGCTTCAGCAAATGGGATCTCTTTCACTATCCAACAGCTGCCTTACAGCTACTGCAGAGCAACAGCTTTTTAGCTTCCTTAAAATATAAAAGAACAAAACCCCAAAAAAACCCCTGGATTCGAAGCATCCAAATATGGCCTGTTGTACTGGAACATTTAAATCCTTGGGGGAGGTGGGCATCTTCTTCCTCTGCCACAGGCAGCGCTTACTCCATGATGGCCCGGTACAAGGCAGGTTCAATATAATCTTCACGGTAGCGTGAATTGATCACTCTTTGCCTCTTCCTCTCTTGACTGACCTCCTTCTCTTCAAAGATCTCTGTGAAGCGCATATCTGAAGCTATTGACTGAGAGAAAAAGACAAAATTAGTCACTAGGGCACAGATCAAATCCCTGCCTCCACATCCTCCTACTGCAGGTGAGAAAGAACTATGCCAAGACACTTGGGAACGTTCAGCCTTCTTCAAAAACTGACCAAACACATGAAGAAAAATATTTAAGAAACTGGATTTACAAGTCTGGGGATTATTTTAAGCAAACTGTAATCAGAGATCTAAAGAATCACAGGTATCAAATTTAACTGAGCACCTGATTTAAGTTCACAGTCACTTTCTCAAAGTAATAAACAGAGTCACCTGTTCCAATTTTCAAGCAGTCTAGAATAATTTCTGCTTTGTGAAGCAAGCATGTTTAAACACCTGGTCACAGGATTCAGCTGTGATATGTTCTTTCTTAAACCTCTAACATCCTGCACGCCTGCCAACAGATCTGCATCAGGTGTGAATGTCTGTGCTGTAAAGCAAGACACCCCAGTGTGCTGTCTACAACTGCAGTTTTTGTAGTGGGAAATACAAATCAACAAAACAGGGACCTAAAAGGGCTGTGGGATCTCTGTCCTTGTTAATAATCAAAAACTTAGTTAATAACTAACTTGATTAAAACCTAACTAGTAACTACAATTTTTGTAGTGGAAAGTATAAAACAATAAAACAGGGACCTAAAAGGGCTTTGGGATCTCCATCCTTGTTGATGATCAAAACTTAATTGGAGAGAGCCCTGAACAACCCTTTCTGACAAGTTCCCCCCGTTTGGAACAGGTGTCTGGAGACCTGCAGAGGTCCCTTCCCACCTGAATTTATTTTACAATTTCAAAAAGCAGCCAGCTGTCTTGATGCCACCCTACTAAGAGCTTTTCAGAACAAAGGGTAAGTGAAGGAACTTGGCCATTCTTTGCAATGGGAGTAGACAATGGAATTTATGAGAGCAGGTATGAAAGGGTTTTAACATGCTGTCCCAATCAGTGACTCATGCTATAAACTCACACCCCTGCAGAAGGAGATAGAACTTTGCTTTTGTAGCCTCATCAACTACTGAGCTTTGCAACAATTGAGGGGAGAGCACCAGATTGTAATCTGCTGCTCCCATGTGCTCAGCTTGCTGATCAAGGACAAATTAAGTTAAATGAACTTCTTTAGTAGAAGTTTGCATCCCTTGTACCTACCAGCCTTGATTTCACTCTCTTAGGAAGCTCCTCTTCAAGAGTATATACATCATCCCTTTTCACCATCAGCTGTGAACCATCTTCAAATTCCACCTAGTAGAGAACCAGAATTTGTTCTGCCATAAGTCTCAGAAGTCAGAACCCTCCCACAGCTCCCCAGAACTTGCCTTCTCCTCCCCACAGAGAGCTCTCAAGAAATCAACTTCTACCACTTGAAATTATAAAAGATACATATGCAGCTATGCACACTGCAACAGACTTTAACCAAAACCTCACCAATATGACAGTAAAAGTAGTCCAGCAAGTTTGGGGATATTCTTTTAGCACCTGACAAGACACTTTGGCTGGTCACTTTAATATAGCCTGCAAATTCATCCCTTTGGAAGTGTGCAAGGCATGGTGCATGTCACTAAATAGAGAGAAGCAAAACCGAACTTATTTTAAGTAGTTTAAGCTACAGGAACAGACTCTGATGAAGAATTGCAAAGGAGCAATTTTCAGAAGTAAGTAGCTGGATATAAGCACAGCTGCAAGCAACCACTTTGCTCTTAACTCCAGCAACTATTACCAGCATCTGGCTTTGATGACAACAGCCAGTAAATTCCCCTGAGTGTTTAAGCATGACTCTCCTATAGCTCTGTCAGCTTTAAAAGCAGCCCTATTAACATGATTGGCTTGTTCTGAGTGAGGAATTTTCAGACAACAAGTTTGTACCTGGTACATCTGGATGGCATGTGATGCGACAAACTTGGCTCCATAAACTTGTCCATCTGTCCATCTCACCTGCACAACTTCCCCTTCAGCAGGGGGACCTAACTGAAGACAGTCTCGACTCTAGAATAAAGAGGGAAGATGGGAGAGAGAAGGAGAAGGATAAACAGCTTCTTCATGTGAAGATTCAGCAAACCACCAGGGAGTCACACTGCACACCACCCCAACTATTACTCCATTTTAGGGATGGCAAACTAGGCTGAAAAACATCCATCTATGTCATCTGCATTTAAATCCCAACAGTGGTACCAACTTCAAAGTATTTGATGTAGAAATGGTAAGCAAGTATCAGCAAGTTTTCCTTCAAACCTACCACTGCTAAGCAGCCAGAGATTAGCTGCACTCCCTGTTACACCTGTCCCTATGTGCCCTCAGTTAAGTCAGTCTCAGATAACACCCCTAAGGCCATCCTGCAGCACATCTCAGCCACCAGAGGAGGACCCAGGGCTGGAAAATTAGCAAATCCCCTGATGTGTCTTCTCTGCGGCAGCAAGAATTGACTCATGATGGGCTCTATACCAGAACCTCACTGTGTAACATACCACAATGTCCTCTGGGTACAGGTTATCACTGAAGGAGCCATCATCAAAGTTGACCTCGTAGAAAGTCTCCTTTGCAAGGCTGACCACTTCACACTGATAGAAGCGACCATTCTTGTGCTTGCTGATGACTATCTGTCCAGGTGACAGATCCTGGAGTGCAGCCTTCGCTCGCTGAGAAGAGAAAAATCACTTTTTACACATTGCCTCAACAAAGAACATGTTGAGGACCATTGCTCCAGTGCTGGCACACAACACAGCACAACATTTTAGTTCAGGTGAGTTACTTTACTTAAAACACCATCAGCAGCCTTTTTCGAGAAATTCTGCCTCTGAATTTCAAATGTCTGAAGCCTAATCTGTTAGATGCTGCTTTCTTTAATTTACTGAGTAAATTAGGCTCTCATTCTTCAGAGCAATGCAAGGCCTTTATAGTAAACATTCCCTAATAGACTGTAGTGGTTTTGGTTAAAAAGGCTACATGGGAAATTTATAAACTAATCAATCACTTAAATGTGAAATTCTTTGAGCACTCATGCAGTCTGCTGGAGTACCAGCACTAAATCCTGCATATTAAGTATCACAGCATACACCCCACTATTATTCCTCATTACAACAGCCACAGGAGGGATGTGATGCTTTCAGTCCTTCTGGGCTGCAAACCAAAGTACAATAAAGGACCTGACTAAGATCACTCAGAGCAGCAACAAGGCTGAGATCAGAATCCAAGACCAACACCATTAGATCACACTGAACATTGTGAGAGAGCCAGCCTTTAATGAAGTTTCAAAAGAACCACACAATCTAAAGACTTTTCAGTCCCTCCAAGATACTGCAGTTCAAATCCTGGGAATCACACACCTAACTCACCTCTGCCTGAGATGGAGTCTTATGCCTGAAGCAGGTAATGAAGACAACAAATGGCCAGTCATCAGGCTGCATCATGACTCCTGCTGCTTGGGCACAGCTGACATGAAAGGATGTGGGACACCGACCATGTGAGCACTGTACACAGCAACCTGCAATTCTCTTTCTCCTTTTCTTGCAGAAGATGCATTTCTGTGGACAGGAAACTAGAAGTTATTGGTTGGCACTAGCTTTTACTCCACACAAAGGGCTATCTGGCCTAGCTATAATGGCTAATAATGTAATAGCTGTGCCATTTAGTCTTTGTGAGAGCACTGCTGCTTTCTGACTAAACAGAATTGGGTAGCTACCAGTTCTATTGTCTATGAGACAATACTTCATAAAAGTAAATTAACCCAACAGATGAAAAATGTAAATTAAATATCTACCAGCTCAACATGCACAAAGCATGTGACCCAAGGATGCTAGCAACAGGAGAACTTAGATTAAATCAGCTTGCAATGCTCCAACTCAATAGGGCCTTTCAGCACTTGACTATTAAGTTACATAAATACAAGCAACACAATTTAGAATAATGGACAAAGACCACAGAAGTAACAGTTAAAGTTCTATCACTACTACCAGTGACTCAATTACACTCAGGTGGGGCCTGCTGGGCTGTCAGAGGAAAAGAATACATTAGCATATGCAAAGTAGAGCAATTTGCCCCTAAACACCGAGCTGTTAAAAGAGTTAAGTACCGTTGCTTTCTTCCTGAAGACATTTACCCATTATATGAATGGCTCTCATATACTGAAGCATCTGAGTGCTCCAGAGCAGCCAATAAAGCAAGTTAAATACCAGGGAGCAGAAAAACAGCAAACAATAAATTATCACCGTTACACTACTGTATGAATGTCATTTGCCACATACTGAAAACTGTGCCCCTTTTGCTGGCTCTTCATGTGAATAACATAATAGAACAGGGCAAGGTTAAAAAAATGGGAATAGGGACAACTGCCATTTCCCATACACAGAACAGAGCAGATTATATAGTTCAGCCTGGAGAGGAGATAACTTGAAGGGATAGGCAAAGTTCCTCAGATTCTGAACAGACTAGAGCCACCACCGATGAAACACTGACGACCCTTACCAGTCTGAAACGTTGCAGGGGGATTTTGCCAACATCTACAGGACTCCGTTCTGCAATGTTCACAAATTTTGCCTCCAGTACAGCCACAGCACACATCACATGAACCCACCTGTCAGGACAGAAGAGAGGAAAAAGAAATTATTATGTATTGGGCCAACAGAGGATGCTCTGGAGTTTAAGTAAGTACAGTTCTGTTGAAGTTTGCCATGTAAACCACAATAAATAGCCTCTGAGAAGCAGCATAATCTTCCTTCCTACTGCTAGTAACAGGTCACATGTGGGGCAAAACCAAGACTTCTTCATACTTCCAATCTACTACTGACAGTCTTAACAGGAGAGCAATTTAGTGTGACTTTTGCTGGCAGCAAACCTGCATGATAAAAGACTGCCAGGCCGAGTTCCCATTATTTTATGGTGCTAGAAGACAGCACCACAGCCAAAAGACACAGGACAGGCAGCTGCATGCATATTTTTCTGTAGAAGTACCTTGAATTTCAATATGCTATGCTACTTAAAGCTATGGTTGTCCTTTGTCTCCATTGTCACCACAAATTAAGAGAAATCAAAATTGTCTGTAGAAAAGGTACTGAGAGATGTTATCTCATCGGGAACCTTGTTTTTATGTGGTAGGTTACACCTCTGCACATTACAGCTCTGCACTATAAATGCAAAGCAATCACCAGCTGCTATCAACTGAATGAGAATGAGGCATTACCTACAGATATGACAATTGCTGCAGGAGAACACAATGAACACACTTTACCATATCCTTCCCAGTAACACAAATTGTGAAGGGTGTTGGTCACTCTACTACACCAAATGCAGACACTGAATTTACCAGTTTACCCTCAGATACTTAGGAATTGACCTTCTCCCTTAAGATCACAAAAATCTGGAACACTCACTTGTCATCATTGGCTCTCTGTAGTGCTCCTCCTCGTAATGAACACAAACAGCAATCCTGGAGCAAGGAAAAAAGCATTAGCTGGAAGAGTCAAATCCAGAGCACTGCACTTGCTGTATAACTTCCACCTCAAAACACACATCCAGAGGAAGAAAATGGTTTTGCTGCCAGAACAGAGCTAACTACCATGTACAGATCAGCCCTTCAGCTCTCAAAAGCTGCTGCCCTCAGGGCAACAAATACAGACTCCAAGTCTGTTGAAGGCAAGCAGACCTACCACTGAAGGTTACATGTATTTGTTATGGGTTCCTTTTACAACTGCAATACCCTCTATCCTTTGAGGAAGTGTAAAAGGATCTGGAACAAACATGAGGAAATACAATTTGAAAGGCTGACCTGTTCTGCTGATCTAGAGTCTAAACAGCTGTTTGAGGGAATCCCATTCTTCCTGCTTTCTTCATGCATGCACACTTCCCTAATTATTAACACAAGTTACTTTCTGGTTTAGAAATAGTAGCTACCATAAATTAAGACAGACAATGGAGCTATTCCCACGTTCATGCAGAACATCTTCCCTCTGATTCAAGTGAATCAGCAGCTTTGTGCTGGTTAAAAGGATACCATTATGGTTTAAAAGCACCAAAATAGAATAGACTGACTCCTGACCATTCTCTAGGTTCTTCTCATAGGATAATTAAAAACTAAAATTAAATTAAAATAAACCCCAACACCCACAACAATATGGAAATTAATTTTGTAGCCAATATGTACCAGACTCCATCTGTGAAAAACTTTACCTCTTCTAAGGCATTTTCTGTACACCGGGAGCACATCCAGTCTTCAGTGGCCTTGTCAGGGGATACACCATAACAACCTAGAACAGACACATCTCACTGAAGAGCTTATCTAAACTCAAACCCATTCCCCTTGGGCCCAGAAGTCAAGCAGGAATTAAAATCAACGACCCCAGGATGACACTGTGTATTTGAAGCTACCCATGCAGCCAACTGCCTGTTCCATAGGCCAGCACTCAAGTATATCCTCCTCTGATAAGGGCTCAACTTCATGCATCTGTATGTTAAACCAGCTGGTAGAGGCCTGCTATGATGTACAGACTCAGGACAGAGAACACCAGAGTTTAGGGTGACATCCAGATGCACTCACTTGCATGGACACAGACATGGCAGTTCTTGCAGGTGATGAGTACGCTGGTTCCATCCTCCTCTAGGTAGGGAGTTGAAAGATTGAGGTCAGTGCTGCAGCCAGTTGCAGTAAAGCACATTTCAGGAATCAGGGGTTTAGTTCGGATCTTCCCATCCACAGCAGCTGGAGGTACTCCAGAGTTTTGACTGCTGCCTTCACATTCTGCCTATAAGGGATGGATGGGGAATTTAAGTTTTACAAGTAAAATGGTCTCACTTCATCTTTACTCACTCGTTATTTGATACATAAATCCAGTTCAAAGAAAGGATGAAGGTGCTGAAAGATTACAGAGTTGGTAGGTTAGGTGAAAATATAGTTTATAAAATCCTCAGCTGCTGTGGCTTCAGAATGCAACTATGTTCTACCCAAATACTACATGGAAAGTCTGAATTGCATCCCTCTAATGAGCAACAAGATACACATCAAACTGCATCTCTCGTGACAGAAGAGATGGAATCACCAAGCCCACCTCATGCTCTACAGAAAACACCCTGAAATACAGAGGATCATAAGCCTGCTGTCCCCCACTGTACATTTATCTTACCTTAATATAGGAGGATTACCAACACACAAATAGATACCGACTGCAATCTCCATTATTTTTTTTTCAGAGTAGTTCTGAACAAGTCTAATGGGCTTTAAAACTAATTTGTTCTGGGAAATAAGCAGACTAAAAATGCAGTTTCCAGGATAAAGCTCAGGAGACCTTCAGGCTAATCTTTTGTAATTTATTCATCTAAGCCAATGTCAAACCAAACACCAAAGACATACAAATTTTATAGAGGTATGTTTCCATTCAAGTTACTCTTCTGAACAGCTACACAGAAATTAATCTCTTTCTTTGCAGAAATGTTCCAAACCACAGGCCACCACTGAAGTAGCTTGCCTAATCTTTTAAAATTATTGTTAGCAGAAACTGCAATAGTAGAATGCTTCCCAAAGCTAGGGAAAATAAGTCCATGTAACACTCACAGCTGGAAGGAAACGGACATGTTTTCAAAAAGTCTTGTTTAGTCAGATTCTGTAAAACTTACTGATTTACACTGAACATTGCATGTCAAGCAAAAGATCAAATGACTGGGGGAAATCTATAACAAAGTTGAAGAAAACATGACTTTTTTTTTCCCCAAGCAGCTAGATACTTTTCTTCTTCCCAAAGGAAAAGTGCATATTTGTCTGGTATTTTGTGCCAATTTTTTATTTGAACGGGTAACTGGAGTGAGTTTCCAGACTTGCTATAGACTTTCTGAAGTTGGAACAAAGAGCCTAACCACAGCTCAAATCTTGGAAGACTTTCTGCTTCACTACTGGTGTAGACAGACATTTGAAAACCTGCAGTTAAGTTTTCTGCTCAACAGCAACTAAAAAAAAAAAAAAGAAGCTAACAGAACTTCAACTGTCCTCAAATCCTTAACTTTATACACTGTCAGCACTAGTGAAATCCTTGTGTACCACACAGCTCCTATGCAGAATTTCCAGTCCTAACAAGAACCTGCTCTCAGACAGAAAGAGCAAGATCAAACAGGAACTACAGTCGATGGTTTCATGAAAACCAGAAACTATATGAATATTTTCCACAAAAATGTGAGGTCTTCATTTCCAAAACTGTGGTGAACATGTTTCTGGTGCCACCATAATCATACAGTGATCTCAGATGAATCACTGAATATGCTCAGTGTATTGGAAGGGTCAAGCTATCTCAAAGTTGCGAAACGCAGCTGTCGAACACTCAATCAGACAACTATTCAAGCTACCTTAAAATTACTTAGCTTAGGCATATCAAAAAATTCAGTGTAGGACTCCAGCCTAAGCAACAAGTCAATATGACAAAGGAGTTCTGCATCCCATCCCACGCTATGCACTTTGTTAAGTGCATTTTCACATGCCATAGCTACTGTCATTATGGATACACTCCAAGACAAGACAGTTTTCTATCTATACCATCTACAAACACAACCCTAAATCCTTCTAAGTAAAAGGTCTTCTGTGCCTGCTCCCCAAAGACCATGTGGTATGAGTGGACCTAAAGCGTTTTTTTAAAAACACTTTAGAAGTGAAGGAGTCAGTCCGGAAAACAGAAATGGGATTTTATAGTCAGCAACAATCAAGCTCCATTCTGTGGTTTGAGCAAAAGCCACAGAACACAAAAGCTTCTGCTGAACAGATGAGAGAGCCCCTGGGAACCAATAGCCAGTCCATCACAGGTGTGAGAAGGCTCACCCACTTGTGCTGTCCTGGAAAAATTCCTTGGGAAGACTGCAACACTGATATAGGTTTTGTTAACTGACAACATGCAAACCAACATATGTAAAATTGTGTACCACAGCAGCATCTGTGGAATATATTCCGTTATCTCTATGCATTAACAGTCTTGTTTTCATACCTGATATGCCTGGAAGAGCATACAAACAGCACAGTATGGAGACTGCTGAGCCATGGTTCGATTGTACTCTTTTTCAGCCTCAAAGTTTGGTGGCCGGTTCTGCCAGAGCTGGCTGAGTGGCTTGGCCCAAGCTTCTGTCTCCTCAGCCTCTTCTTCAGGAGTTAGCTGCTCTGGTGCCTCTGTGATAAGAGATCATTCACTCAGTGATTATGTGTCTTTTTACAGATGCTCTTCTTGTAAATGAAACTAAATAAGGCAAGAAGCTATGAATGGAGATGGATGAAAGACTGCCAGAATTCAAACTGACAGAAGGGTGATGGAAGCCAGTAACTCAGTCTCCTTTTTAAGAGGCTTCTACTAATCAAGCAACCGTGCAGACACAAGATAGGCTTACTGAGAACAGCACCAGTTCCAAATTATATCAAGACTAAAGCTGTCAGCCAAAGAACCTGGTACTGGAATTTTTTTTTAAATCATGAATATTTACATCAATGACTGGGATACTCTAAGGCAGATGCAATTATGCAACAGTCTCTGGTACTGGTTTAATTTTCCTTTCAGGGTTGCAACTTTCCAAAGAACAGAACAGGAAAGAAAGATGACACCATTCGAGAGAAAGTTTAATGATGCAATGAGACAAGCACCTTGTCTAGGATGCAAAGGTGTCACTTGCTGACTCCTGTTTATCACCACACTGCCCACAGAAGCCGAGACCCTCTCTACAGTCTCCCTAAGAGCATAAGGCTTTACTCACCATCATCACTAATGCAGTCTTTAACCAAGAGTGGGTGATGGCGTGGGAGTTTGCTCAAGGGCTGGCGACGACCCTTGGACTTCTTACTGTCCTTTGCTGAGCTGATGTACTCCTTTGCTGCCTGCACAAGGAGAAGAATTCAGCAGCCAGTTAGCATGTGCTTCCATGATTTTATTTCTAACGACCTAACTTCAGCTCTAACTGGCTAAGTCTTTTGAAATGCTCAAAGCACTTCTGCTGTGATAAACCAGACAAAGCTGTACTGTTGAGCCAGCAGAATGGACACTTTTCGGAGGTCCTAGCATAGCTTTTCATGCAAGTCTGTTTACATAAAGAATCATGTAAAAGACAGAAACAAAGAAGGAAATGTTGAATGGTTCAACTTAGAAGAGCTGTGGTAAGAAGTCTCATACATTCTGGAGAAGCCCTCAGTTTGTGTGTCACTTAAAAATTCCAAATTTATAAGTAAAAAAAAAAAAATAAATAAATATACAGAGTTCATTGACATCTCGACCTAACAGGCTTATTTTAAATGAAGGACACTTTCATCCCTTCTGCTTATTACTTGCATTGATATCTTACCAGACAGACTGGAAGAAGGAGACTACAACAACAGTTATTTCCTCTTCCCTTAGCCTTATGTAAAAACAAGTGACACACTGACAAAATTACTACTAACCTGACAAGCAAGGCAATAAAGCCAATGATTTTAATGGCCCAGGAAGTCTCTCAGTAGATATGAACCTACTACCTAAAGTTGGATACAAGACTTCTAAGAAACACTGAAATGGAAATTAGCATTCCCAGTTACCACCTAATGGAAAAGTTGGTTTGAAATACACTGCACTGGGGAAAACAATCCACACCCATTCAGAATTTCACCTTTTCCCTGTATAGAGCATGCAATGGAAACATCAGTATCTGCAACAGAATTTCTTTAGTTGAAATAGCCACGAGAACTCTTCCTTAGTTTCAGCTTAACTACCAACAGATTTGCCTATTTGCTGTTCCATTTTTGTAATTCCTGAATTTTTAGGACACAATAATTATTTGCCTCCCATTCTCTACGCACAGATTTAAAGAGGGAAACAAAATACTGAAAAGACATTAGCAGATAAGATTTTAACTCTTCTCTTAGGTTGATTAATAAAACATTCATTGGTAGTTCTTAAACACTGAGATTTACATTCTCCCAAACAATAACTTCTGTTGCATCATTTCTTCTCTTTTAAAAGGGACACAGGCAATAAAAGCTGGATCAAACTAGATATTAATTTTAGGTATAAACAGGTGTCTATTACTAAAAAAGGACCTCCATCAGCCTGTAACACTACCTAGTCAAAACCACCAAGCTACTTTTTTTGCCTTACAGCACTTAAATAGTTTAGAGAAGTTCTCAACACCAGGGATCTCCTTGCCTTCTAGAAGAGGTAAGAGCGTAAAACAAAAATTGGAATGCAAGTCTGTTTAGCAAAGCCCATAGGTATTAAAAACACATTAACAACTAAGCAACTTGCTATGCAAACACCAGTGGGACGAAATTGTAACCTGCACAGACAGGAAGTTTTGTCACAGCAAATCCCTGACCATGGAATTACAGCCCTTCAGTTCTCTTGCCATTCATACCTCTATCAGTTCTTGCTCACTCATGCTGGTGGTGGCACTGGCTTTCTTCCCTGAAGTCTGTTCATTGTCAGATCCACTGGCATCCCCCTTAGCATAGCTGTGGACTGTGAACACCCCAGCTGGCCCAGGAAGAGTTCGTTTTGCCAACAGCTCAGTCGATTCAGAGTCTGAAGAACAAGAATACGCAGGCGAACTGGACTGAACGCTGGATGTTGCACTCTGCTTTGATGCTGGCAATGCTGAAGTGGAATTGGAAGCATGTGAAATGGAGAGATCCAGTACAGCTGCTTCTTGTTCTTCTTCCTCCTCAAGCTTCACCGTTTTCAATTCTTCAAATTTAGCTGAGTCCCCACGATCTGGAAGAAATGATATGCTGACTTTTTCTGAAGTCTAGGCAGAGAGAGAATATTTATGCAACTGTTTGCACAAAGCCAAACAGGAAAGCAAACTACTACATGCAAAAAAGTGACAGTAAATCATGTAAAGAGTAGATCATTAATTCAAATGCCTATAATGTCATGGGTGACTTAGTGAGGGAGAGAATACAAGTGTCTGCTCATTGCCTCTTCCAGCACCAGAACTAGGGTATGTCAAACAAAACCAGCAGACAGTGAGTTCAAAACAAACAGAGATGGTCCTTTATACAGGCATGTATGTACCCAAACAGCCCAACTCCTGGCCACATGATGCTGTGGGTAAGAGGTTACAAATGTTCATGGGAGACTTAACAGGAGAAAAATAAAAACCCACAAACCAAGAGAAGATTATTAAATGCAAGCTGCAAAGGGCTGGAAAACAAAATACGAGAGGGAAGCATCACACATGCTTTCCCTGTTCTTATGTTGTGCCAGAGGCCCCCTGCTCCTCCCATAATAGCAAGGATAAATGACCTATTACAAGCCACATGAATTTTCCTCCAGCCTACTTATTACAAGTAACACACCTGTACAGCATACCAGACCCACACTACCAGGAAGTGTGTGCATGTTTTACTAAGCAATTCACATAAAGAGGTCACGTTGCTCAAGAGGGATGCAGAGGAGCTTAGACTACTGAGGCGTCTGATACATTTCTGCCTGCAGGCAGGCAAAATAAAAAAGAGCAAAAAACAAAAGCCAGAAAATGGTAACATTTTAAGACTTATGACAGTAAATTTCTGAAGTGCTTGCCATGGGTCTGATAAATTAGTGTCTGCTTTTCTGGACACGAAGGAATCCTACTGAGCGGTATCATATGAAAGAGTGCCCCAGATTCAGCTCTAGCAGCTTCTTTTCTTGAAGAATAATACCACATCCCCTTGTACCAGGAAAAAAGCTTGGCACACAGTTACCTGGAAGTTTGAGCCTTTGTTCACCTTGCTGCACAAGTTCACTCATAGGCCTCTCACGAGGCTCTGCCATGTCCTCTTCATACTGCTCCTCCTTGGGGAAGGCCTCACTCTCACTCACCTCCTGAGGCACTTCCAGGCACACCCTGTGCCTTTTTGTTCCTATGCGATGCTTGGGGATGCTGCAGGACACAAATCCATGTGTCAGGTTAGCAAACATGTAAGTGTGATGAATTTCTGTGTGAATGCATAAAGTACAGTCTGGTTTGGAACGGTCTTTTAAAAGACAGCATCCGGCAAGCCAAATAGTTTCCAAATTATTTTGAAGTGTTTTCTTTGCCTTTGCAGAAGAAAAGTCAGTAATCTTTAGAGATGATTCCTCAGCATGTTAACAATGTATTGAGCAGCTATGCTCTAGCCAGGCATTCTTTACCTTGAACAAAAAAACCCTCTAAACAAAACCCCAAACAAAACAATAACCAAAAAACCCACCACCAAAGATAGCTTTAGAAATAGTAGCTGACACTGACTGAAAAAGATTTAAACTGCAAAATGTAAGATGATTAGCCTGCTGACCTTCAGCAACAAGGAACTGCACACTGATGTCACAGCTTGCAGCATGATTGTACCAAAATTTGCTAGCAAGTACTGTCCCATGATCTCAATACACTCCCTTTTTTATTTCTGGCCTCTCAGTGCATGGTGCACACTGCCAATCCAGGCTTTAGAGGTCTGTCCCAAGATGAAGAACTACCTTCCAAGCTGGTGTGTTTCCTGCCTACCACAGACTATCATCAATGTGGACTCAAACAGCAAAAAATATTAAGAGTAAACCCTGCTCCCAGGAAAAAATATTATTGCTAACTCTGTCTGTTCTTCTATCAGAATGGCAAACACTTAATTGCAGCTCCAATTGCAGCAGGGTCTAAATTCTAAGAATCCAACAGAAAAACAGAGGACTATATAAAGCACTACCTTTTCATCTCGTCCCCATCCACCTCCTCTTTACATGTCTCTTCTGTTTCCATTTCCTCAGCACACTGTTTCCCATTCTTGACTTTTTGCATGAGATCCCCTTTAAGGAACTCAGCCGCCTCTGGGGTTGGAAGAGCATGGTCGATGACAGTCACGTCCTTCCCAGCTTTCCAAAGCTTGTAACGATCTGGCTGGTACTTCCTCACAAACACATCCATGGAAATCTTCACCATGTCCTTCCGACATGAGCACTGAAGTCACAGAAAATATTAAAGTAAGGCCACATACCTCAACAATCCTACTCTGAATTCCTGTATCACTTTGCTTTCAGGAGCTTAAGAAAAAAAAATCCCCCATTTACATGTAATTGAACCTCAGAACTCTGACTCAAGATTTTCCCAGGGTATATATTAAGTTACTAAAAACTGGGCAGAAAAGCCAGCAAAAAAGAGAAAGCAGAAAACCAAATGTTATCACAATAACTAAGAATGAAAGCTCATCAGTCTATTTACAGAGTTTCTGGTAGAAGCTGTCTGTTTTAAAACAAGCTTATAAAAAAATAGGCAGAAAACCAGAGACTATAATGAAGAAATTAGAGCAACACAAACTCTAGGCCTATCCAGAGCAGTAGAGGTTCCCCTGATCCAGGATAGTTACTAGTAGTACTTCAAAGCATTCAGTTCAATGTAGCTTCTGAAAATATAACTTGTTTGTAAGGCACCTCTACAGCAATATCCAGGCTAGAGGTTCAGCCAAGATATTTATTTTGGTAAGTCACTTAAGTTACCAAAATCATATTTCCAGGCTAACCAGTCAATAAGTAATGGTTAAAATATTAGACAAAAGTAGTGGTGAGCCCTGACCATCAAACAAACTCATCTCTGGAAAGTCGAGTCCCCTGCTTTTCTCTGAAGCCTCACTTGATCCGCACAAAGTTGCAAAACATGTTTCATGCTATCCACGCTTGAAATAAGGGCATGAAGCAGGAGGCTGGTTGGATGTTGTTACCACGTGAGAGAGCGAACATCACACCTTAAATGGACAAAGCCCTGAAATCACTCCCTTAGAACAAACAGTGGGGGCTTAATGAGCAGCAGAGCATCCTTTCTTTCACATGCAGAATCGTCTGCAATAGGATGGCAACAGACCACTCACCAGCACGGACTGCTTCCCGTACTCGATCCACCGAAGAGTAGCAAAGTTGGTGGATTCAGCACAGTTAAAGCCGTGATTAAAGCCAGCATGATAGCTATAAGGAAAGGTGATCATGAACTCCCCAGCCTCCTGTGTCACCTAGAAGACAATTGAGACACCACAGTGTTATTCACAATCTACTTGGTGAGTATGATTAAAAGCAGCTCCCATACCCCTCCTGCAGCATACCCAAAAACCCTACTCACAGATGGTGGCTGGAGCTCCCTGCTGCAACAGACAGACTTGATACTTGCCTTCACTATTTTCCTACTTATGTTAAATATCTGTTTCCGGAAAAGCCACACTCAATATGGTTTTTTTACTAAAACACAATGCAACTGGTCAAAATAGCACAGAAATGGTTATACATATAAAATACTCTGTGACCAGCTACTGAAGGTACTTATCTGTATCAGTTGCTGGCTTGGCTGAACAGTATCTAAGATCAAGTAAATTTTTATCCACACAGAATTTGAAATTTACTGCTGTTTTCTTTTGCTGTTCATATTTGAGTACAACTCTCAATCACCCTTCCATTGCTGCTCTTCAACATTACCCCACTGTCTAAAGGTTTATGACAACAAAACCCTTCAGTTACCAATGAAGATGTGACAGCATTTTATGAACTCAAAGATTAGATCTTCGATATTTCTATGTGGAGAAGGGGACTGGCAGATCATCACCAGAGAAAATAAGGAAATCTATAAAGTTATTAATGAAATTAAAAAATTAGCAGGGAACAAGCCTTATTTTCTGTTGAGGAAGTGGATTGCAACAAAATAGGCAGGGGACAAGTCTGAAACAAAAAAAGGACAATCTCACTTCACTGAATGCATAGCTAAGCAGTGAAGTTAATCTAACACAGATGTAGTGTACAGTTCTAAGGTAGAAAAAAAAATATGGAAAACCAAGCTTTTTTTTTTAGTAGTCCTTGATAGATTTTTTCGTTTCAAATTCTTTCAGGCCCGAACTGCCAGATAAATGGAAGTACAGTGGGAAAAAATTGCCTTATACCCTTCCTGTTCAAATTTTCCTCTCTAAGCATCTGCTACTGGCTGCTGCTAGAAATGAGACAGGACTGCAGGAACCTCTTGATCGAGGCTGGTATAACCATGATTACTTTTCTACACCTTATCAAATGGAATGCCGTATTTCTTCAGAATTGATGGAGAGATGAGGGTCATCTTGTGACGGAGAAATGCTTCACAGCTTTGGGCACTTCCTGGAAAAAAACCTGTTTAAAAGGCAGGCAAGGAGAGATGTTACCATTGTGCTGTGAAGCAAATTTATTTCTCAGCAGATTTTAGGAAAAGTTACTGTCTAAATAGGGTTTCTCCTTAGACCTACAAGTGTGGACCATCTTATTTGAAGTGTGCTAGCTTGCATTCTGAAGAAAATTGGCAACTCCTCCAGATTTATCTTTTAACAGCTGCCAGTTTGAAAGAGCATAAGAAAGACCTTACATAGGTCTTCCCTTGGCCATAAACCTCCAGTTTTAATAATCAATAGTTAAGGATTTTTTTATTAAAGGTTAGACAGACTGTAAATTCATTATTTCTAAGGTGACATTTCTCTTGTGTGTATCCTATAAACAAATACTCAGAAGTAATGTAACCTATATTCCAAAAGGCAAATTATCAGTTCAGTCATGCCAGCCTGGGCTGTGGTGGATATTATAGGCATGTTGTGCTCTTAAAGAGCTGAAATTTGTTGCAGCTGTCCATCCCACCTTTCAAAAAAAGCAAGACATAAATTGCTTGATTACCTTTTGCAAGTCTCTCCAGTCGCTTCCCATGCTCTGGAGGGATCGAGTACCTGCAGTGGTAAGAACAAATCTGTTAAGTTCAACTGACACGACAAAATCTCAAAGTCTGACTGGAAATCATAATCAGGCATCAAGGCCTGAATTACTTACAAAAATAAATCCTCTATCTCTACATTGTCTTTATCAAAGTTTGATGATATAAAGCTGAAAATCTTCGTCAAGGCCTTTTACCTTTCTATCCCAATAAAAATCAAGACCAAAAAGCTGACCACCTCTTTCACTGACTTTTGCTCAAGCAATTAAGGAAGTAAAACGTGTGATGTACATAATTAACAGATCAATGCAGCAAAACTGAACTGCAATGAGAAAAGGAAGAGCACTTCCTGAACTGTCTCAGTTCACAGCTGTGCAATCGCCGGTACACTCACTGCAAGGAGGAACACAGAGCAAGAGAGAAAATGGAATCATCTCTTTCAGCTGCTCAGACCAAGATGAGACTAAGTCAGATGCCTCATCCTTAACACATGCACAACTGGCAGAGTGCTCTTCAGGGCTATGCCTCTCTTTGTACACACCTTTTTACGGTGTGTACGTGGTTTTTATACCACAAAACTCCTAGCTGGTTTGACTACAGTAAATAAAGCCAACCACTTAGTTTCCTTTTGCTCTGGAATACAGTGTTATATTCTTCACGGAGCTCCTTAATAAATCAATCAAACTAAGACACCAGCAAAGCTCACTTCTTTCAAGTACTACTGTAAAAGAAGCAATGAACAAATAGTTCAACAAACTGAACTATTCTGTTTCATGTTCCCCTGCTACTCCCACTGCATGGGGTTGTTCACTGGTCATATGGCACTAGCTATTATTTTTTACTTCAAAGTTGTATTAAAAGGCAGCCAAAAACATATTAGTTTCCAACAAAAGTGCCATGGAAACAATTGCTGAAGTTGCTTGAGAAACTAATTTGTGAACAGAATGGCATGATTCACTCTTGAAATGCAACCCATGCTACAGAAGATTTCAGGAGCCTCCCCTAAGAACCACTCAGCGAGATCCACTGCCCTGGTTTTTAGATCTTATAAACAGTTACATTTCAAAGTTCATTAAAAATTGCCTGTTCCCCCAGTGCCTATGTGACCATACCTCTGTATGGTCATTTTAGAGCCTCAGGAAATAATAAGCAAGTTTTCCAAGCTTTGGTCCTACTGTAGCAGAGAACATCCACACTGTACTGTAATTCTGAAGAACTCCCTACATCAGGACAACAAACAGTTGTTACAGAAGGTAACCAAACAAATTCTATCGAGGACATGCACTGTTTTGCAGTTCCCTACAGGTTTCTAGTGTTCTTGTTATCAGATACCTCTGCAGTGCAAGACTGGAGAAATGGTAATTACTTCAGTCAACTCTTGCAACTTCATGATTTTTGACTCCAATATTTTCTGGTATTGCTTTTCTACATTTAGAAGCTTCCCTAGAAAATCTTACCACGACTTGGGTTCCCCAAAATGCAAGTAGTTAATACTGTAGAGGTCCATGTCCTCAGTGTGCCAAGCAAAGGAAGTTTTCCACATGCCAAAATATAGGTAAGGAGTATTCACTCCTTCAATGGTTATGCCACTTTCATTCTCCACAATATCCAGGATTGTGTTCAATCTGCCAATATTCCACGCATCCACATGCTGTAAAACATGAGCCTTGTGTCAAACAAGGATTACAAAGAACAGACCCATACAACTGAGATGACAGTTGCAAAAGCTAACAGGCACTTGTGAAACAGCACATCACAGAATCACACAGCTCAAGCCATGAACTAGTTCCCCTTTAATAAAAGTTCTGCATGGTGTAGCTTACATACTGATTGCTTACTAGTCTTTATGGAGGGGAAAAGGTTACCAGCAAACACAGTGATTAGGAAGGAGAAATAATCACGAAGCTACAAACTTAACAGAGCAGAGAACAATAGCTGATGTTGATTGAACTTGAGCTGATGTCTGAACCCTCTTGAACAAAACCACTTTTCATTCCAAACATCTTTTAAAATAGTGAATCATGGTAATTTAGGAGACAAGCAAGCAGAATGCAAACTCTTTTTTGACGTTTATCATCCTACCACATAATGGCTACAGAGCTGTCCCACACAAGTACGTGCACCAGTGAATACTAAAGCAGCGTGTATCCACTGATCAACACTTCCAACTCTCATATGCCCTTTGGGACAAAGCAACACTTGGGCAACAGTGGTTTCTGCCTTCCTGAACTAAACTATGTTACACTGAAGCATGAGCAAAGGTCCCTTAGAACACTACCTCTGTCAGCCTTCTTTAACTACCTGGATTAAATGGAGTGTATGTTATAAACACGTGGTTTATTGTGTTCTTGCCTACTGCAGAAGCTGGAACTATGTGAAAACTATCATTGACTCTTTCCAAAAGGTAAGAGTCAAATGCTACATTAGTATTCATGGAATGCAATATCCCAGGATAACTGTTACCTGAAAACCCAAGCAGTCTGCTCACCTTGTCGTAAAGCGTGCCGTTAACGTCGGCCCCATAGATGGGGGCATTGAACGTAAGGTTTTTCCAGTATTTTCGTTCAAGGTCTTCAAAGTCCGTGTACCGGGGTGTGCAGTACCTGAAAGAACAACAAAGGTACTGAAGACTTTGCAGTTTGGTATTTGACGAGTCCAAACCAACATTTTCCACCATGGAAACAACGGAAAGCTACAATAAAAACACCCAATGTGTGTTAGCAACCAGACCCCTTAACTGCCTAAGCAGCAACGAGAGCTGTCACAGCTCTGTTCCTGCAAGACTTGGGAACAAAATACCAGGAAGAAAATTACCTTCCCCATTTCTCAGTTTACTTTCATTTTTTGCTTTGTGCACTTCTCTGGGGCCAGAACAATTTCGCTTTTTAGCTGCAGCTCCTAAGTATCAATGCTACAGCTACTAAGTAGCAACAATTCAAACACAAAAGTCATAAAAAGAACAACCTGAAAGGGAAAAAATCCCAACAAAACCAAAGTTTCCTGGCTTTCACTTTCAGTGAGAGTAACAAACGTCCACAGACTTACCTGCTAGTAAACTGGTCAAGCATGCTCAGTTTACCAGTGAAACACCTGCTCTTGATGCCCCTTCCCTGTTAACTACACACCGGACCAGGGGATCAAATTTACACTCTTAAAACCTATTTCACGTGTGTCTATACACATAGATTCCAGAAAATTACATTTATAACATTAAACAATAATTTCTATTAAATTATTCTACTAAACAGAATTTTAAAATATCTGATGTGTACTGCTCTTGCAAGATAAAACGAGCTTTGGTGGACTGACTGCAGCTGGCAACTCCAATGCTATTTCTAAGTAGTTATTGCAAAGGCTGTTTCTAAAACTCCTTTTAAAGTGATCTTTTCTCCATCTCCTTTTTCATGCCAAGAACACTTCCCTCCACTACTCAGAAAATATGGTCTAGCTACTGGGGACAGACACACAGGAGTGCAAAGCACAAGTAAGAAGTTCTGCTGGCATTACGTATCCTCTTGCTGCACAAGTGACAGAGGTCCCCATCCACACAGCCCCGTTGTACGAGCACAGCTCCTCAGCTCAGGGCACGACGTTCACACCACTGACCGGCCCCAGGCTGTACCGAGGACCTGGCCCCTGTGGGAACTTGTGGATGCCCCATCCCTGGAAGTGTTCAAGGCCTGGCTGGCTGGGGCCCTGAGGAACCCGGTCTTGTGGAAGGTGGCCCTGCCCGTGACAGGTGGGGAAACAGATGATCTCTAATGTCCCTCCCAACCCAAACCACTCCATGACTCTACGTGCCCGGGACCGGACGTACTTGTCGCTGTTGGCGATCCTGCGGAACTCGCGGACCGTCATGGCTTTCTTCTGGATGTTGTACTGCGTGAAGAGCCCGGACTGCCCTGTCACCACCTGCTGGATGGGCGCGGGGATGACGAGCTCGTCGATGTCATCGTAGCACTGCCGCGGCTTCCACTCCTTGGGCGGCACGATCTGCGGGGACACACGGCCCGGGAGCGGCGGCCGCGGCCGGGGACAGCGTCAAACTCGGGGAACTCGGGCCGAGCCCCGGCCGGGGCGTGCCCGCCCCACCGGCGCCGCGGCGTAAACAAAGGGCGGAGGCGGCCGGTGCGCGGCCCGGGGCCGGCGGCGCGGCCTCCGCCCGGGGGGAGAGGGAGGGTCGCACCTTGGCCAGCCCGGCGCGGTGGGCGCCCTGCGACTCCACGTAGGCGATGTAGCGGCTGAAGTCGCGGAACTGCTCCATGGTGGGGCGGAAGGTCATGATGCGCTGCCCGGGGTTGAGGCTCTCCAGCTCCGAGGCCATGATGCCGGGCCGGCCCTGCGCGGAGGAGGCGGGGGGTGTCGGGGGGGGGGGAGGAGGCGGGACACGCCACGCGCCCCGCCCCCTCCGCCCGCCGGCCAATGGCCGCGGGGTCCGCACCAGCCCTGCCTCCTCATTGGCGGAGCGCGCGTGCCCGTCAGGACCCCCCCCCGGCTCCCTCTCCCGGCGAGAACGCCACCGACTCACAGCTCCCCCCGCGCCGGCCCGGCCCGGCCCGGTGCGGCCGCACCGAGTCCCCGCCCGCCGTGCTCACGTCGGCAGCGCGTCCCGCTCCTCTGCCGCCTCGCCGCCTCTCCGCACCGACGCCCAGCCGCCGTATCCCTCCGCACCACGCGCCCAATGAGCCCTGCGGGCCGCCGACGCCACCGAGGCCGTTCCGCTCCGCCCGGGCCCCGCCCTGCCGCCCCGCCCTCTTCTCCTCCGCCGTCGCAGCCAATCGCTGCCCGCTCCGGCTTCACAGCCAATAGGAATTCGACGGCCGGCCGGGGCGGGCCAGCGAATCAGGAGGCCGGGCGCAGGGCGGTTGCTAGGCAGGGGCGGGAGGCGGCCGGGCGCGCAGCAGGCAGTCGATAGGGGGCGCTGGACCGGGAGGCCGGGCCGGGGCAGCCTCGGGCCGTGTGCAGCCGCGGGGCGGGAGCGGCGTTGTCCCACACGGGTCCTGCCCGGATCCCACACGGATCCCACACAGGTCCCACCCGGATCCCACACAGGTCCCACCCGGATCCCACATGGGTCCCACACGGATCCCGGCCCTGGGGAGTCCCGCCGGGTGCAGCCGTGCCCGGTCCCGCGGGGTGTGAAGCGCTGGGCACTGATCCCGTGCAGATGGGCGCTGCCCTGAGCCGAGTGGTGACACACAATAGGCGTGTGCCAACCGAACGCATGAACTGGGCTAATTATACACCTACAATTTCCGTGTGTAAGCAAAGCCAGAGGAGAATTTGATACTGTGCAAACGTCTGGCAGTGAATTCAGGCTGGGGCTGGGCTGGAGCCAGGCCTGACCCACGCCAGAATTTTTGGCCGGTCATCCAGAAATATGAAAAAGTGCCGCCGTGGCGAACGGATGTTGCCAATAATCCACCACCATTGTGTGAAGGATTGGGACCTGACAGTACAGCTTTAGCAGCAAATGCTTTCCAGTGTGGACAAGGATGAGTACTTGGAAGAACCCATCTGGGGACACTGACCTCTCTGTGGATGGGACTGCCTGCGATTTTCACAGCTCCACAGATCGTGGTGTGCTAAATGCGTTTTAAATGTGTAAGTGCCAATAGGCAACCTTAAAAGTAAGCAGAACCCACCTGAAGAGCTCGTAGCCATCCTCAGAGAGCATACTTGGTCCTTCATGCTTAAATAAAACCTTAATTTCACTGTGTGTTTCTCCTGATATGCATTTCCTTCAGGGCATGTAGCAGCCCTGAAAGTCCTAACAAGCACCACTCCAACACAGGTTTTCCCTGGTCTGCTGCCTCTAATTTGCTCATCTGAATTGCCAGGTATACAAACCAGAACCACAGAGTGGATTAAAACAACAGCAAGTACCACACAGAGCCTCCTACAAATGTCAGATAACAATTTTGAGACAAACTCTGTGTTTCTGGCCTTCTTGGTGGCTTGGCAGCTGCACTGGCCGTCCTTTAATCAAGAAAGGCTAACTTTCTAATACTGTAGAATCACAGAATGGTTTGGGTTAGAAGGGACCTTAAACATCATCACATTCCAACCCCCTGCCATGGGCAAGGATTCCTTCCACTTGACCAGGTTGCTCAAAGTTGCATCCAACCTGGCCTTGAACACTTCCAGGGATGGGGCATCCACAACTTCTCTGGGAAACCTGTTCCGATGCCTCATCACCCTCACAGTAAAGAATTTCTTCCTCATATCTAATCTAGCCCTGCCCTCTTTCAGTTTAAGGTCATCTTCCCATTTCCTGTCACTGCAGACCCTTGTGAAAAATTCTGCTCCAATTCTCTTGTAGCCCCTTTAGGCACTGGAGGTTGCTGTAAAGTCTCTTTGGAGCCTTCTCTTCTCCAGGCTGAACAACCCCAGCTCTCTTCAATCCCCTGTCTTCACAGGAGAGGTGCTCCAGCCCTCTGAGCATCGTCATGACCTCCTCTGTTCCTGTTCCAGCAGGTCCTTATGGGACTTACGTCGGGGCCCCCCCCACAGCTGGGCACAGTGCTCCAGGTGGAGGGTCTCACGACAGCAGACTAGAAGGGCAGAATCACTTCCCTCGATCTGCTGCCCACAGGAGACAGGAGCTCATCTTTTTATGACAACCAGTGCTAAAATGTTCCTGTGAGCGTAGGCAGGGGAGCTCGATAACCTGTAATTGTTAACTGTGGACTGAGACTGCTTATTATAACTGGCAAAAGGGCGACAATGAGCTTTTAATTGGAAGGATCAGAATTATTCTTGCTCTCAGAAGTGAATCAGGTCAGAACAAGCAAAAAAGGAAAAGAAAAGAAGAAGAAAAAAAAAGAGAAATCACTCTTAACTAGGAAATGTTACAAATGAAAATGGCAACGCTGCTTAGGACAAGAAATGCCAGGACTGTGGGGGAAGGAGTTGCCAAGCTACTGCACAGAGTCCGCTCAGATTTGTTCAGTGGTACAGCTGCTTCTTTTCCATACTTAATGACTATTTTGCCCTTGAAAAACAAAATTTAAAGTAACAAAATCTCAAAGGGCTGATGCTTGGGCAACATTATTTGGAGTAGTGATCTTTAAAGGTCCTTTCTAACCCAAACCACTCCATGATCCTATGAGTTAGCATCACTAGGAGGCAAGCCAAGCCTAGGCACTGCCTACACAGCTCTTGCTACAGCTATCAGTGGAATGAATAAAAATCTGAAAATACAAAGAGCAGAAAAGCACCTCAGTGCCCAGGAATTCACCTCTGACTAGCTGCCATTTAGCTGCTGTCCCACCTGCCAAACTGTGCCCTTTACAAAGCTGCTTATCTGAGGCTGCTTTGGGGGCTACCTGGAATGACTAAGGAATGGAAAATTTTCACCATGGAAAGGAAAAAAAAGCCAGCAGTAGCTACCCAGCTCCACTGGTCAGTGCAAATACGGTCTCTGAGACTCCAAAGGGAAGGGGCCAAACACTGTCTTACAGCACCATCTTTGGTGCAAACAGCACAGGTGTGCAAGGAAAAGGCCATGCAAGAGGCAGAACCATGTGGGTCAGGGCCCCATGGCCTGTCCATCCTGCAAACCCACAAGCAAGTCCAGCCAGGTGCTGCACCAGGTCAGTGCACCCCAATACAGCTGCAAATGGGCAGGAGGTGAACATATGCATGCATAAAGGGAGTTGTCACAGAGGATTTCCAAGCTCCCTGCAGGCACAGGGGTCTTTGCAGAAAGTGTGGGGCACGTGTGGCTGGGATGTGCCTGCAGGAAACGACTTCCCTGCCACAGGCTGAGGAGCATGCCCATTGCCAAAGAACTCTGTGGCCTCTGCTTACTGCTGAAGAAAGAGACAGGAAAGCCAGCTTGTATGAAACCCAATTATTCAAATTTATTAACATCAAGAATTATGCAATGATGCTGTAGATTTTTTTTTTTTATTAACAAATAGAAAACAGACTGTATACAACAGTGACCCCTACAGCACTATGCATCCACAAGGTAAAAATGAATGTGTCCTCCAACATTACCAACCCTGGATTGCTGATTTCAACGTAGCTTGGATTCTTAACATTCGGAATACATGTGATAATACAATTAGATACCCTTCCACCACCTTTATTCATAACTCAATGCACTCGAAAGAGGGCTGCTCACTCCCCATCTTTAGTGCAAGCGTGATATAATAAGGAGTATTAATATATAGTACCATTAAATTAAGTCCAGTAGTCTTGCCACATTGGTTCATTAGAACGTCCTGAAGTAGCGGAAAGTACAATATTCTAGTGACTCTTAACATTTGCAGGATAGCAGAAATTATAGATACACCCAACCTCTGAAGCCATGTGTACTCCCCTCCCCTTCCTTGCAGTACCCTGCTTCCAAAGAGAGCCGGCCCAGCTCCGCTCTGGGTCGCCTGGGCTTGTGCTCCTTGCCTGTGTAAATGCTCTGATGCACTCCACTGGTGAGAGGTGACGGGATGGTGCTTGCACGCACAGAACAGTGGGATTAACACAAAGGGCCATGTCTTGCTCTTTCCATCCCCTCCCCAGGGAAGTGTCGGACCCTCTCGCTTCTCCTGCCCCCTTCCCAGCAAGACACACAAAAAGAGGTTCCAATGCCTGGAGCCCGGGATTTCGGGTCTCTCACAAACAAGGCGACGACAACTCACGTCATATCAGGATCTGCCAATACACACGGTCACTGGATTGGTTGAACACGTATTGGAATAGGACTGAACGGTTTCCAGCTGACAACGGGGACCGCTTCTCCGGCGCCCCCACATGCCCTCCCAAACCCAAACCTACTAAGGAAATAATGGGGGGGAGGAGACTAAAAAAATAATTGGTGGTTTAGGTCCAGTTCCATGAAATTTCATATTCTACAGAGGATTAAAAAGCAGCCTATGGGGAATGGAGCCGGGCAGGAACCACAAGCCAGCTGCTGCAAATTACCAAGGAAGCTGCACTAAAATGGGCAGAACCAGCAGTGACTGGGCTGAAATAAACACAGGGCAGTAAAAAATGTAAAAGCAAAAGGAAATGGAAAAAAAAAACCAACCCAACTCCCAAAGGTTTGGCGGGTCCAGTTCTGTCTGGGCAAAACATTAAGACTTGCAAAAAATAAAAAATAAAGAGAGAGGAGATTATAAAAACCACTAGTAACTATTTTACATGTTTAAAAAAAAGATCCCATTCCACCCACCTAAAGCCTCGCTGTGAAATGCAGTCGGCGTGAGAGAGGGTGAGAGATGCACATGAGCAGAAATTCAGCCAGAGACTGGAAATGCTTTTGGAGTCGGATTCCCTCATTTGGCGCTGGGGCTAAGTTCCTAAATGCCGTGATCAAAACTGGTTGGCGTGGAGGTCTGCTGCCTGGGCAGTACCTCCACCTGTACAGAAGGACTGAGGAATGGGCGGCTCTGGCTCAGAGGAACCCGTCTCCACTCCTAGACATCCCCACCGCGACTGGAGGAAAGCACTAGTTACGTTGCATAGTGGTCGAAGCTGCCGAGATACTCCAGCGCGGCTCTGTAGCACAGCTGGTACTGGTCCTGCAAGGCAGCAAGGAGGGAAATGTGAGAAGTGGGGACACAAGGACAGCACACAGCACGGTTCAACATCCAGAGACATCAGCTCCCCTCCCTTCTCCCACAGATCTCCACTGCCCCGCAGAGGAGGGGATGCTCACCTCTGTCTGCACCATGGCTGGCCGCTGTGTCCGCAAGGTCTTCACCATCTGGAACATGTCCACCACCCCCTCGTAGCGCATCCTCTCCAGCACGATGCTGAGCGTGATGAACACGCCTGTGCGCCCAACCCCAGCGCTGCACAGGGAGCAAGAGGTGCCATTAGAAGTCCTGCCAGCCCCAGGAAGGCTCTGCAGAGCTCCCAGGAGTGGTGCCAGCCACTCACGGAGCATAGGGACCTGCTTGGCGGGGAGAGGCCATAGCCCCCACTTACCTGCAGTGCACTGTGATGGGCCCATCCTGCCCAAACTGCTCCTTGGTCTTGTGCACCTGCCCAATGAAGTCGATGAAGCCCTCTCCCGTCTTTGGCACTCCCTGCTCAGGCCAGTCTGTGAACTGGAACTGGCGGATGGTCCGTGACTGGCCGTCCTGCAGGGAGAGGGGTGTTAGATGTGAACCATGGGTGAGGGGCTGATCTCGCTCCCCTCAGCGCTGGTGCTGCTGACCTGCTCTTCCTGACCCAGGCCAGGTGAGAGGGTGCACAGGCCACAGGTGAGCTCAGGCATATCTTTTGCTGCATCTCTGGGGGCTGCCTCTATCCTCTCATTCTCACCCCAGGGCAGCTGAGCTGAGCAAGGCTTTGGCCCCTGTAGGGTCCATTTGGTCAGTGTCCTGGTCCTGTCTGGGGCCCAACTCCATCCCAGGCCCATGTTTACTGTCACACAGGTATCCTGCACCTGGTCTCTGCACACAGAGACTTCAAGTGCAGGGGGATCTGTGTTAAATTGCCCAAGTGGGTAGTACAGGCAAGGCAGGGTCTGGTGCTGACAGGGACCCTGAGCTGCTCACCAGGGCTGCCACAACTGGCAAGGCACAAACTTGTGAAGAGAGGAGCAGCAGGTGGTGGGCAGCAGCCCTTTCTGCCTGCAGCGCAAGGCAGCATTTAATTTTCCTGTTCCTGCAGGAGCTGCTGCACTCTCCCTTGGCTGGCCTGGGCAGGGCAGAGACATGGGAGGCAGGGGAGCAGCAGATACTCACCCTGGCATCCGTCA